AATAGATTTTATGTCATATAACACTGGGAATGTTGCGACATCCATATATGGTTCATCGGTCCCATCACTTCGCTTCTACAAGAGTGACATATGATATATGGTCTAAAACACTTCTGTCTCGGCTCTGTTAAAGTTTCAATCTTGAGCTCTTGATTTAAACACTGTAAAGGATAGGTATCGACTGGATTCAACAATGTTTTTCTCTTAAACCAATTATTGAATACATTCTGTAAAAAAACACGATATTTTATGTAATGTTTATGTCATTTTGTTCCAATGAGGTTCAGAAAGATGTTTTGTGTTAAAAAAGTTCACCATATCGAAACCACTCCTTTCAATTGATTATATCATAGTAAAACTACATATTCCCTTTCCATAAAGTCAGGGGTAGGGGGAGGGTAGGGGGATTATTTTGATTATTTCTTTCAAGTCCAGAGCCTGTCCTATCCCTTGGGGGACTATAGTCTCTCTCTCAAGTTTTATATAAACAGGATACTGCAAACTCAGAATGTTCCAAGCCCTTTGTTTTGAGAATGTGGGGTGATATATTTGCCCCTTTTCTAATCGATTCCTTTCCACTTTCTCTGACAAATTATGTTCCCATTTAGAAATATTGTTAATTAATCTGGACATTGTGAAATTTTTGGCTTAAATAAAAGAGAATTTAGCTCTGATCCATTGTCTTATCTATCTTATCCTGGGACAGATGCAAATAAGAGATTTATAATAATAATGTATAATCAAATAATCCCACACAGTAGTGAAAGTGACAGTTATTTCTCCGGGGCATGCTAGAGCTGACCCCCACCCAGCCTTAAAAAGAGATGGCCTGGTGCCATCATGTTCCAAAAATATCGAACCTTTAGGAACGATACCCTAACAAAAAATGATAAAAATCATTGGGAATCATGGTGTTCTGTTTGTTTGTATCACTGGAGTTGTGCTTTTTGGATTTACCATTCTCTTAATTTGTTGTTGTTGATTTTTATTCAAGTTTTCCATGGAAATGCGAAAAACTAATGAGATTATTGTTACACAAGATAATTGTATATAAATATGTGAGTCATATTCGACACAATCAATTAACATTATACCCATGATCTGTCACAATTACTTCCGATTAGTGGCTTATGTAACAGCCTGTACATATTTTTATAATGGTCGTGTTTTCTTTTGGAGAATTCACCATGAAAAAGTTGAATAATCAAGAAATAAAATACACAGGCATGTTGTATATACTCTAAATTGTATAGAAATGCAAAATTCTCTGACACTTTATTTAAATATTTTTGAGAAAAAGAGATGAAATGTCATGATCGAAATGAGATCTTTCGGAAGTTTTATTCATTGAGCCGTGTAGACAGATGTAATGAGTGAGTGTGCTCTTTATATTAACAAGGGATTAATAGAGCAAAAGTTCATATTTAGTTCAGACTTTTGTATACCAGAAATTAAGTGGGTGTCTACTGTCTAAAGAGGTGACGGGCGTCCACTCCACCCAACCCTTTGTCATAGCAAGACAATAACGTGTGCTCGTAATTTGTGAAATTTGTACCATATGCATAACATCAGATTAAACTATTCTGAATTCTAATTACTACGGCATACATCATGTACATTAGAATTGTACTATAAATTAAATATAATTCAGGGTTGACATAGAAACATTTTATTAAGACCATCATAAACCTAGATTAAATACATTAAATATCCTTCAATTTGAAACCATACATGACAAATAATACTAAATAAGGAGCTTTTTTCTCAAACAGCCTAATTGATAGCTCAACAATGACGAAAAAATTATCTCAAAATAAGTAATTATTGTTTGCCTTCTTTAAACCTAGTACAATAAATATTCCTTAATTTTAAATAAGGATTTGCTACTGTGAGTTCATGCAATATTTTCATGACAGGTGAAAATAATTTGTCATATACAGTAATTGCGCAATAACTTGCCAAATTAGGCCTATTGTTGTTTAAAAACCTTGACAACTAAAGTCTGTATATCATTTGTTTTAATACTTGAAGAAAAAATTGAAAATAGAAGCCTAATGGTAATGGTAAACAAGGCATTTTCATGCAAAATGTCACCACCTGCCATTTGTTACAGACATTGACTGCCAAACTACCCTTTGCATTCGTTGGACTTCGCTTCTTAAAAGAGAGCTTGTCTTCAGTAGGTTATAACAAGACTTTGTGCGCAGGGTACTGCCGAACACCTAACACCATCCATAACCAGAACAACGGCAACGCCAAAGCGTAGCGAATCCCATCGAACAGAAATGACTGGCATTTTTACTAACAAAATATATAGCAAATATCATAAAATAACACACATAAGAAAGGCCACCATTTTCAAAATGGTTGCTCACTAGCCAAGTTGTCATCAGAAGAAGTAATATGCTTTTATGCTCCACTACTTTTCGAGTAATGGTAAAATACTTCAAAATGGTGGCCATTTTTCAAAATGGCCGCCTTCTACCAAAAGTGACATTAAACAGTGTGCCATGCTTATAGTATTCACATACCAAATATGAACAAAATCACTCCACTACTTTTCAAGTTACAGCAAAAAATCATTAAATAGCGAGTAAAGGCCGAGTAAATTATGTTTAAATGGCGGCCATTTTGAAAATCACATACCAAATATGAACAAAATCGATCCACTACTTCTTGAGTTACAGCAAAAATCGTAAAATCCCTATATCCCTCCAAACTTCGTTCGATGGGATAATAAAGTTGGAGACTATAATAACCAGAACAACGGCAACGCCAAAGCGTAGCGAATCCCTTCGAACAGCCATGGATGGCATTTTTACAAACAAAGTATATAGCAAAAATGGCAGCCATTTAACAAAATGGTCGCCTTCTACCAAAAGTGTCATTAGACCATGTGCCATGCTTATAGTATTCACATACCAAAATGAACAAAATCCCTCCACTACTTTTCAAGTTATAGTAAAATACGTTAAAATGGCGGCCATTTTTCAAAATGGCCACCTTCTACCAAAAGTGCCATTAGACAGTGTGCCGTGCTTATTAGTATTTGTGTCAGGCTTATAGTATTCACATACCAAATATAAACAAAATCGCTCCATTACTTTTCGAGTTATAGTAAAATACATTAAAATGGTGGCCATTTTTCAAAATGGTGGCCATTTTTCAAAATGGCCGCCTTCTACCAAAAGTGTCATTAGACCATGTGCCATGCTTATAGTATTCACATACTAAATATGAACAAAATAGCTCCACTACTTTTCGAGTTACAGCAAAAATCGTAAAATAACGAGTAAAGGCCGCCATTTTTTCAAGATGGCTGCCATGTGCTTCTTTAGTATCTACATTTCTAGCTTTATTAATGTCCTATATAATTTTTTTACATCTAAAACATATTGCTATTACAGTTTTACATATTGCACCTAAATAACTGTAAATTCAGCACTAAAATGGCCGCCATTTTGAAATGAGTGGCCATTTTGAAAATCGGCTTTCGAGCAGAACTCCTATCCCCAAAGGGTATATGTGTACAAAATATGAACAAAATCAGGCCAACGGTATTTGAGTTATTGCCCGGACGGACGGATGTACGGACGGACGGATGGATGTACGTACGTACGGACGGACGGACGGACGGACGGAGGCGTTCCCTATATCCCTCCGAACTTCGTTCGATGGGATAATAATATGTCACCACCAAGATAAACCAAGAAATTTGTAACTTAAGCTTTGTCTATTTTTGATGGCACAAATAGAGGCTAATAGGTACAGTAAAACCTGTTCAAAACCTCTACAAGCGGAACAACTCCCAAGTGGAACATTATTTTGAGGTACCAAAGGTGTTCAACTTACACAGATTTACTGTACATTCTACTTAAATCAACACGTGTGTGTATGTATGATATACCCTGAATTTCTAGAAAACTCATACATAATTTTAAGACACATTAGAACACATAAATGCACATTGCACATACATTGGTCCAAGAATCTAAATGGTTAAAGGCTCATTTGTGCATTATCAGCTATTCAGTGAAGATCAGTTTACCCTTGCTTCACCACTGCTACTGTTTAAGCACTTTGACCCAGTCAAACTCAACTTAGATTGATCCCACTATATACGTATGCATGGAATAAAAACAATTCATATTTGAAATATTTTTACACTATATTCAACATGTTTGATTATACATGAATTAAATAATATGTAGTGATACTGCACCAGTCATTGTATTTGCATACTAATTCTACTGTACACTGTCCTTTGAATAAATATTTGTAACCACCATATATAACATTATATAGCCTCAAATAAATTAACTTGGGTACAAAAATCATGATTCCTGACCTGTCATATTTGGTATGTCACGATTCCTGACATGTCATATTTTGTCATGATTCCTGACCTGTCATATTTGGTATGTCACGATTCCTGACATGTGATATTTGGTATGTCATGATTCCTGACCAGTCATATTTGGTATGTCATGATTCCTGACATGTCATATTTGGTATGTCATGATTCCTGACATGTCATATTTGGTATGTCATGATTCCTGACCTGTCATATTTGGTGTGTCACGATTCCTGACATGTCATATTTGGTATGTCATGATTCCTGACATGTCATATTTGGTATGTCACGATTCCTGACATGTCATATTTGGTATGTCATGATTCCTGACATGTCATATTTGGTATGTCATGATTCCTGACATGTCATGTTGGGTAATGGTTCGAGACAATATTCGTTTAAGACCGTTGAATCAAAATATGATTAGCATCATAGACATTGCACATCATATACATCGTTCATCAAATGCATTGCACGTTATAGCCATTGTACATAGCATATCAAATGTATTGTATGTCATGCACATAATACATCATATATGTTGTACTTTGCATACTAGGTGGATTGTCTCAATGCAGCTGCATTACCATGCAGTGCAGTTTATGTCATAATATCAGCTTGTTCGATTTCCATCACCAGGGGTTATTCATTGTAAATATTGTCCATCAGTGTCTTTCTTGCTACGTAATCCAGACCTGAAAATACATGTACAGTTTTACATTAAGTTAGCACAATATGATGTGAGATTACATGAGGAGAGAGTTGCAAGGTCTGAAATCAGGAAGAGAGGTCATAAAAATGGACAATCAAAGAACAAGATGTCAAAGAAGATGGGAGCAGAAATAATTGTCCCCAAATGAAACATCCTCTTCTCAGAAGAGGCTTAATACGGAGGTGCCGAGAGGACTATTTGGGGTTTTCCGAGGACACACTAAAAAGACTCAACATGATGAGACTAAACATGAATCTTTCTATTTCACTTTGAATTAAAACATTTAAAAAAAAATCTTAGCAGATATGTCCAAAATCTTATTGCTGACCAAGTCTTATTTTCAGAATTGCAGAAAACGTTATGTGAAAAGCTTTGTATTATAATATATGATTTCATTATTCAAACACACAAAAACATGATACGCGTGTTATTTTTGTTAAGCTAGTAATTAAAAAATGCTCATAATTCATCTATGAACAAAGCTTAATTACAGACAATTAAGCATTCTGACAAAGGAGTGACATGATACCATCACTCCTAAAGTTACATTTTAGTCATGTCTATTTCACCATTTTTCTCCATAAAATTTGAATGAAGCCTTTCATTTTCTTGAATTTCTATACAACTTAGAGTGCCTACAACATGTCTATTCACTTTATTCCTTGCTGATTCCATTCTTTTCAACTCTATTTTCAATTTTAAAATATGACCATCATGATATTTTAAATGAGAACAACAAAGGGTTGACATGGTATTATTAGTTAATCCATTTAGTCAATCATCTCCTTCCATCTGTTTCAATATTTCAGCCCTTGGGCTATGATCTTTTTCAGCTTTTGTTTTGTATGATTTTTCATTCATTGTTCAAAAATTCTGTCTTTGGATGAATTTGGCCCACCCTTTTCTCAAGTGGGGATGTTTCCACATGGGATAAGGCAGGGTGAGGGCCATAGGTTTAGGAAGTATAGGATCTACATGTAACATGCTCTTTTAACTCAAAAAATAAAATTCTAGCATAATGTACAGTTCTTGTCCCTTGAAAAGACACATTAATGATCCATGTAAATAAATGAACAATCCAGACCTCAGATTCAGATATTTCTTCGTACTGTTCATTACACCATAATTGGTTGTTTGATCTTTTTCACCAGTGGAGGCAACAATAATATCAATTGCAGCCATTATTCAGTTTTAATTAACACTCATGGTCATCAATTTAACCACAATTTATGCTTAACACTTCAAGCAAATCAATGATATTCTGTAATTCTTCAAGTCCATATTCTGCTATGAGATGATTCTTCACGTTTCTTAGGTCAACACAAGAATGAACAAGGCACAGACGTGAACAATATCGTACCTAAAACACAGCATTGTGGTCTTGCTGACCAAGAAAGCAAGATGCCCGCAGAAAAGTTAATCAGCTCTAGAACTTATCACTGTGTAACATATGTAAAAATTTGAATGGTTTGGCTGGAAACCTGTAGACAAGTCTTGAAAGTGAAGATTTTAGGACGGAAAATCCAAAATGGCCACCTTAAAATTTACCCAGAATGCCCTAAAACCAATCAGTTCTTGACGTTGATATGTAGAAACATCCCTGAAAATTTCAGATGAATCCCTCAAATGGTTTGGCTGAAAATCTGTAGACAAGTCATGAAAGTGAAGATTTTAGGACAGAAAATCCAAAATGGCCACCTTAAAATTTAACCAAAATGCCCAATAAAAACTAATCAGTTCTTGACGTTGATATGTAGAAACATCCCTGAAAATTTCAGATGAATCCCTCAAAAGGTTTGGCTGGAAACCTGTAGACAAGTCTTGAAAGTAAAGATTTTAGGACAGAAAATCCAAAATGGCCACCTTAAAATTTACCCAGAATGCCCAAAAACTAATCAGTTCTTGACGTTGATATGTAGAAACATCCCTGAAAATTTCAGATGAATCCCTCAAATGGTTTGGCTGAAAACCTGTAGACAAGTCTTGAAAGTGAAGATTTTAGGACGGAAAATCCAAAATGGCCACCTTTAAATTTACCCAGAATGCCCAAAAACTAATCAGTTCTTGACGTTGATAATGTAGAAACATCCCTGAAAATTTCAGATGAATCCCTCAAATGGTTTGACTGGAAACCTGTAGACAAGTCTTGAAAGTGAAGATTTTAGGACGGAAATTCCAAAATGGCCACCTTAAGATTTACCCAGAATGCCCAAAAAAAATCAGTTCTTGACGTTGATATGTAGAAACATCCCTGAAAATTTCAGATGAATCCCTCAAATGGTTTGGCTGGAAACCTGTAGACAAGTCTTGAAAGTGAAGATTTTAGGACGGAAAATCCAAATTGGCCACCTTAAAGGGTGACGCATATCGTTTAGCAAATCGAACGCTCGTTTCTTGTGTTGCTCACCGTTTAGTATAAAAGGCCCGATCCCGGAATAATACTCAAGGGTTCACAAGTTTGAGGTCGTTGTGTCAACACCTCTAACTGTTATATAGCATAAGTATATTATAGATCGTCACACATTTATAAAAGGGTGATTTTTATTTTGACAAATCAATTCCACATTTATGGGTGAAGTTTCAGGATCTTCTATTTGTGTTCAATAAGGAAAAATTGGCATCTTAATTTCCCCATAACGTAAGGCACACAGCTTGGCATATGAAATATCCTACAAATGAAACAAAGCAAGACAAACCGGTTTCTATTACAAGGATTTATATTGGCTGTTGTACATGTATTCTTTGAACGCAATCACTCTTTGGATAACGTTTTCAAAATCATTATAAACGGATTACTTTATCTCAAAGACAATTTCAATAAACTGGATTTTACAGAACTCCCCTTATTTCTTAAAAATGGACTGATCCAGTTGATTCGCCTGGAGCCGCCATATTGTTTTTATACGGGATGCTAATCCGAACCCTTTAAGATTTACCCAGAATGGCCAAAAACTAATCAGTTCTTGACGTTGATATGTAGAAACATCCCTGAAAATTTCAGATGAATCCCTCAATTGGTTTGGCTGGAAACCTGTAGACAAGTCTTGAAAGTGAAGATTTTAGGACGGAAAATCCAAAATGGCCACCTTAAGATTTACCCAGAATGCCCAAAAACTAATTAGTTCTTGACGTTGATAATGTAGAAACATCCCTGAAAATTTCAGATGAATCCCTCAAATGGTTTGGCTGGAAACCTGTAGACAAGTCTTGACAGTGAAGATTTTAGGACGGATAATCCAAAATGGCCACCTTAAGATTTACCCAGAATGCCCAAAAACTAATCAGTTCTTGACGTTGATATGTAGAAACATCCCTGAAAATTTCAGATGAATCCCTCAAATGGTTTGGCTTGAAACCTGTAGACAAGCTGAAAAGTGAGACGCCGCCGCCCGCCGCCCGCCCGCCTGCCCGCCCGTCAAGCTGACTACAATATCGTACCTTTTGTTAGGTACAAAAAAAACAATGAAAAAATTTTGGATCTACTTTAATATACATTTTTCCATTAAGTATTAAATAGTACATTTTTACATGTAAAATGAAATAATCCTCTACCATTTTTCTGACTATTTAATTTTCAAAGAGATAATGAGAAAAAGCAGCCTATTTTGAAACATGCAATTAACTGGGTGTATCAAAGAAATATACGCAGCTGTATTATATTTTAATTTCTGAAAACACATATTTCTAATCAATTTGTTGACAGTAATGTTGATTGATCAGAACAACACAATATTATTAAATTCAGAAATAATTTAGAATTTCCAGAATGAAGATTTCGTTATGGTAATGTCTATTCATGTCTTTTCTCTCTAAAATTTGAATGAACTGACTCAGTTCTTAGCATTTCTCTACAATTTAGAGTGTTGACTACATGCCTGTGTACTTTATTACTTGCAAACTCAATTGCTTTGAACAGTATTTTCCATTTTAAAACTTGATGACTATGTAATCTTTGTCATAGGTTATAACTAAATTGACAAGAATCTTCAGACAAAATTGAATAATGATCAGGAAAATAATCCCATAGTTTTTATAATTATTAATAATGCAGAAAGCATGCCTGAAATATACACGCTGTATTAAGATCATATTTTTAATCAAATTGTTGACAGTTTTTGATGTATTATGCCCATATGTTATATTTAAATATACGAGTGGTGTATGAAATAGTTTAATATGTTTGAGATGACAAGTACTCCACCTGCAAAGTAGCAATTTATGGTGATAAAATCGGATAGGCTCAATAATTAATGCTTGATATGACTTTTTTCCATGTCTAATCCAGTCCCATATAGATTAACTCTCCATCCAAAATTTACCGTCTGCTCATGGGAATTTCCCCAATTTCTTCGTAAAATTTGAATGAAATGGTTGATTTTTTAAGATTTTTATATACTTTGGTATACAAGGTTCAAGTCTGTTTATTTTATTTCTCTCTTATTTCTCTCTTTTCTCTGTAATTGGCAATTATAAAATATAATCACCATATTTTAATATTAGGTAAGTAGTAGAGATTCTGTGGTTTCTGGCAAGGAGGATTGGCTCCCAGAGTGCACCACCGATATTCTGTCCCATATATGGGTATGTCGTAATACAAAATTCGAATTCAAACAGCCGCCATTTTGTTCACTTCAACATTTAAATCGTGAATTTTGGTCTTATTTCCAAACGAAAAATTCCAAAACTCACAAGAAATGATCGAGATATTGGTTCGAATCTTTTGAACTGTTTATTTTGAATTTATAGTCGGTTTTAATTTCAGAAAATAACGACATTTCGACGTTTTCATTGTTGGAAAATATCGAGTTTCGATCCTGGGAGCCAATCCTCCTTGGGTTTCTGGCTCATTGTCACCAAACTAACCTTTTACCATCCATAGGATCAAATACCAATTTCCTATTGAAAGTAACATAGGTTTTTAAACTTGTAATTATACTGCTTAGGATAGGTGTAGATTAAAAGAGAAACAAAGGCAGTAAATCA